AGGAAATGAAAAACCCTTACCATGAAAACTATGTCACTGTGAAAGAGGAATCAAAGAGGACATCATAAAATGGAACGATATCCCCTTTTCCTGGATAGGCAGAACCAATATAATCAAAATGGCTATATTTCCAAAACTGATATATAGATTTAATGCCATCCCAATAAAAAAAACCAACAGTATTTCTCATAGACTTAGCTAAAAGAATCCTAAAATTCATATGGAACCAGAAGATATTCAGAATAGCAAAAGCAATTCTGGATAACAAAAGGGAAAAGGGAGGCATCACAATCTTGGAATTGAAGTTCTACAAAGCTACTGTGATCAAAACAGCATGGTACTGTCACATGTGTATAAACGGAACAGAAAAGAAACAGAAAAACCCCACACACATTCAGCTATATGATCTCTGACAACACTGGAGGAAGGACAAGTCTCTTTAATCAGTGGTCCTGATGAAACTGGCTATATACATGCAGAGGATTGAGTGTAGACCCATATCTCTATGTACTAAACTAAAATCAAAATGGATCAAATATTTATATGTTAAAATAGCAACATTTAACTTCCCAGAAGATAAAATAGGTAAAACTCTTGAAGACACAGGCATAGGCAAAGACTTTCTGAAAAGAATGTCAGCTGCACAAGAAATAACATCAAGAATCAACAAATGGGATTATATCGAATTAAAAAGCTTCACAGCAAAGGAAATAATCAACACAGTGAAGAAACAATCTAAACTAGAAAATGTTGCCAGTTACTCCTTGAACAGAGGACTGATATCTAGAATATATAAAGAACACAAAAAATTAGACTCCCAAAATAGAGTACTCAATTAAAAAAAAATGGTCAACTGAAATGAATAGACATTGCTCAGAAGTACAAATGTCCAGTAATTACATGAAAAAATGTTTAACATCACTGGTTATTAAAGACATTCAAAATACAACAACACTAAAATTCCATTTTATTATAGAAAGAGTGGCTATCATTAAGAAATCAAATAATAAATGCTGGCAAGAATTAAGGGAAAGAGGAACTCATCTACATTATTGGTGGAGTTGGAAACTAGTACAACTACTACAGAAATTAAAACCTGAAATATAAATTCCATTTCACTCAGCTATTCTCCTTCTGGGTGTCTTCCTGAAAGAGTGAAATACATAATATTATAGGGGTATATGCATACCAATGTTTATAACAGCAAAATTTATAATTGCTAAACTTTGGAAATGACCTACATTCCCATCAACAGATGAATGGATAAAGAAAATGTGGTATGTTTACATAATGGAACACTATGCTATAGAAAAAGATAAACGAGGCATTTGTAGGTAAAGTGGATAAAACTTGAGACCATAATATTGTGAAATAAGTCTGACACACATGCTTAAATGTCACAGGGTTTCTTATATAAGAAACTAAAAAAAATATAAAGAACAAAATAGAAGATAAATAGGAAGTAGAGAGATCTTGGCCAAATGGATGTGGGAACAAGAGGCAGAGAAAGAGAGAGGGAAGGGAAAGAAAACAATGGAAGAAAAAAGTGATTAAAATAGAGCTTTTATAAATGGAAAGGGCACCAAGAGTTGGAAGGAATAGGGAGGGGAAAGGTAGGGGATAAAAAAGAACAAAAAGAATTAAGATGTTTTATGTACATGCACCAACTCCTCATAATTGTAATCCTTATGTACTGCAAACATATATTAAGACAAAACAAAACATAAAGAAAGGCCTTAGGGGGCCATCTTCAATAGACTGATTTTAAGATGAACAATTTCCCAAATGTTAACATATCTAAAATTGAGATGTATCTCACAAATGATGGGATCATACAGTTGTCTTGGAGCCTTCGACTTTTGGCTGCACTACAGCTACAGAAGAGGAGCTGCGCCCACCTATTTCTTGATCTGATACCTATTCTGACTTGCTCCCTTTGACCGCTTGATCCTACTGGTCACTGAAAAACACAAACTCCAAGACAGGTGGATTTCCTTGGCCATTACCTGTTTGTGACTCATCAGCTGCACTAAACACCCAATAATGACCCTTCCTTTTCTTTAAACAGGCAGGGAAAACTTGAACTGAAGCCTAAATATCTCAAATGTATATAAGAAGTTTCTGATAAAAAAGCAAGCAAAATCATAGTACTTTTTTCAGTTGATGGTCTTATATTCAAAGAAATATGATAGTGATACACTCACATGTTCTCATGTTATATGTCAATTTGAGCCTAAATGCCTCTTCAACTCCACCAGCCCCCGAGCCTCCAATTCTGTGACCAGTTTTCTTTCCAAATACTCTTTCTTGGTGGTGGGAATGGCATTTAATTTTACTGGGTGTTCCTCTCTCCATATCACCAGTAACATTTCAGGCTGCCAGCACCAGCCTTATCTGGGGAGTTCAATAGAATGAGTCTAACATACAACTCTACCTTTGAGCATTGGTAAAGGTTAATGCCTGAGTAACAATTCCAGAAAGGTGCTCAGCTACAAGGGTAAAAGAATACTTGTTCATCTTTCCTGATGGTGTCAAGTGAGCTTTTTTACCTTGGCTACCAACACAGGGCCTCTTAATGGAAGCAAACTTTGGTAACTAAGAATTGTCCACGTGGGCCTCTTGTCTTCTGGATGAGATCATTATTATTTTTGCTTCAACAGCTACTGATTTCCTTAAAAACTGTGTACAAGAGCTTGTGGACAGAGGGAACAAAATTTGAATACATGTCTCATGTCTCATTAGATTTAAAAGGCTCAGACTTTGTTTTACAGCTTACCAGAGAATAACAAATCTAGTTCTATTCAGGGGATTTAATTCACATCTCATTAGCTAAGTTGGCAAAATTTAACATTAGCCTTGAAAGGCTAATTTGATTAAAGAACTGGTGGACATTACTTTTCTCAGAATAATCAGGTTAATTTTAATGGAAGTAATAATGTCTCCCTGGCAGGTTATTGTGAAAATCAAATAACTAGTTAGAATACTGTGGATGTTTTATAAAGTGTTAAACAAATGTAGGTGATTTTTGGAGGCTTCTTTATTTCTTCGTTGCAGTCTCTGGATTCCACCTCCGTTTTTTTTCTCTGCATCTTCCTCAAAGGTCTTACCTGACAAGCTGAGGGAAATCTTTTAAACCTGGCCTAAAATCACTTGTTTTCAACTCATAATTTAATTCAAAAAATATTTAGAAGCTTACCATAGGCTAGTAATTTTTACACAAATATACACATTTAGAACAAAGACCTACCACTGTACACTGATTTTGAAATATCTGGCTGAATATCATGCTAAAAAGAGCTAGGATATAGTTGCCTAAAGTCTTTTATAAAAGGGCCATCAAGCCTATTTAGCCTTTACAATCAAACATGATTTGTATTTGATTGTGACTTTGAAGGAGGAAATTGTCTTATTAGTTACCTGAATTGATGTAGGTCATCTCTCATGGGAACTGCTACATATGTAATCCACAAGTGGGTTAGGATTTTTAACCCAGACAGATACATTTAACTTTATGGAAACAGGAGACTTCAAGTATATGTCACACCGACATGGATTCAGGTCACATATTTATTGGTATTTATGCTTGTACCTAGTTTGATATTCAGTATAGCCCTTAGTAGGAACATATTACAGACATTGAGAACCAAAAGGACAGAACCAATGGACAATTTTGCCCCAAGATAATTTTATGGCACAGCATTTTTAAAGATCCATAATTCTTTTTACAATCAAATGTATTAATTACATCTTATAGAACAACAATGGAAAACAGTATAGTCTCCCCACTTTAAAAATAAAGAATTGGAAAAAAATTTAATAAATTCGAGGCCGTACAAGAAAAGGGAAGTTAGTGCCAAAAAATACCCCATCCATTGATTATTTGCTTATGCTTCCAATGGGACAATAATCAAACTTGTGAATACACTGAAATTGCAGAAGAAAGAAATCCTCCACCAACAACCTTTCTACCCACTGGTAACACCCACAAATGCTCTTATACGTATTCTCCAGGCCCAGGCAAAAGCAATTTTGTTCATACAATGCATAACTTTTGTAGGAGGCTAGATTCCTTTTAGAACTTGAGAGTTACAAAAGCTGTATGATTTCCTACTGTGGTTGCAGGTGACAAAAACCCAGTTCAAGCAAAAGGAAATTTGTGAGCTCATGTATGGGCATGCCTGGAGGGAAGTTGGCCTTAGGCATATCCAGAAGCAGGAGCCTATATAACACAATGTTGCTCTTCTGTGTATTTTTGTTTCAGTTTCTTTCCAACTGTAGCTCAGCTGGTGTGTGTGTGTGTGTGTGTGTGTGTGTGTGTGTGTGTTTGTATGTGTGTGTGTGTGCGCACGCGTGTGTGTGCATGTGTGTGTCCATGTGCATTTGGTGTACTGGGGAAAGTAGGTTTTGGTTTCAGACTCATATTCTTATGGCTTTGTGACCAGAGAGGAGTAAGAAAATTGACTTGTCTCTTGTCTCCATTTTTCAAATGTGAGAGAAATAACCTGGTACATTCTACATAATATACCAACCCTGGGTATAATCAGAGTGGAAGAGAGATATCAAAAATGGCATCCTAGGAAACTGCCGTTCCTCTGGCCAGAGAGGGAGTCTATTACTAGGACACAGATGCAGGTCAGACTAGCAGGAAACAACTTCAAAATGTATCATAACAAGCCTCTGGGAAATTAATTTATGTTTCATAAAGAAAAATATTAGATAAAAGCCAAAAATATTAATATATGAAGCCTTAATCAATTTTAACAGATATGTGATTGAGTTTTGATAAGGAGCAAGGTACAGAATTCATTTAGATAATGTTTTATTTGTTCTTTCTAGAAAGACAATATCTTTTCTTTGGTAAGATAAAAAGAAAAGCAACAACTTGATTAGAAGTGTTAAAGTGTACTGACTCTATTGTTGGCTAGTCTAACAATCTCTGTTGCATTATTTCCAAGTTTAGTCACATCATTCTCAAGGGAGAAAAAGAACAAACACACTGATCTCTATCAATTTGAATCTTTATTGTATTTCTTAATGCATTTAACATCTCAGTACTATTTCATCAAGAATACTAAGTTATTAACTTAGATTTTGCCAATGTTTAGAACATTCTCAAAATCACATGTTAAAGTAACAACTGGCATGATGAGAAAGTAACTTTGAAAATACAACAATCAAGAAAATATTTTTTCAAATCATAACTCTAATATAGATATATTACTCTCATGTATCTTGTACATCATAAGAAAGGTTCTTTGTTTTTTTACCAGTACTGGGAGTGTATACTTTCAACCATGCAGCTAGTCAGAAAGCCTATTTTATATATGGAGTATGGTACTCATAAAAATTCTCTTTTCCCTTGAATATTATTCACTATATGACTGTAGCTGTACTGGAAGAGAAATGAGTTTCAATCACAACTATCACCTAAAATATGCATAAGTTCCTACACTGAATGCCAAGATAATGATATATTACACTGTATTATGCCTACCTCTGTCCAAAGGCCAGCTGGCCAGTATGACTTCAGAGGGCCTGCACTTTCTCCTATCTGATACCCAAGATGCTTCTGAAGTGTCCCCCTGCCCCAATGACTGTCTGGTATTGAAGATACTCTTGAGAAAACACTTCTTCCAAATCTAATCCACCAAATCCATTTCCAACTCTAAAGTTGATCAATTCTTTAAATCCAGGTCTTGTCTATCATTATTTCCTCTACCTGGATAAGGATAAATTAGAAGCACTTCAGTAAAATAAGTAGCATAGGCAGAAACACAAAACAAAACAAAACAACCCCTAAAACACTGTTCTGTAGAAAGTCATTCAATATTTAGAATCTTTTCTAAATAGAAATGTGAGCCTAAAAATTAAGTATATTATGTTATTTTCATATCTTTGAACTCTGCTATCATTGTGACTAAGGACTAATGATAAATTACTCATACCCCTTTTGGCCTAAGAAGAAGTAAGTACAAGTAGCCCACTGGGCCTCAGCAACAGCAAAAGAATCTTAAGGATCTTTCTGGATATAAAGGAATACTATGCTGTTTTAAAATCTGAAAACTATTCAAGTTGATCAGTTGGGTTTCTAGCCCTCTTCTTATATTTAACTTTAGATTATGGAGAAGCACAAAGAGATGGTTGGATGTCTGTCCTTAAGGCAACTTCTTGGTGAGATTTCAGCATCAATCCAGCCTATACCTTCCTGTTTCTTCTACAAACCAGTTACCTTTCTTCCCAGAGACACTCCTGCTTGTCCTCTTGGCTATCTATTTAGCTATAAAAAGTATGGGAGGAAGGGGGATGGTGTAGGGAGATAAGATGCAATCACAAAATCAGGGCCCCTAATAAAAGTCAGAGAAGGCTGAAGGATAAATAATCATCAAGAGAGCATTCCTCCTAATAACAATTTCACATATATGTTATTTTTCTTTCAGGACTGTTAAGTCATAATTTAGTGAAACTCTTGTGAGGGCCCCCCTTAGTGGGCTACATATAATTTAGCATACGCACATACATGATGAAGGTATGGGTATGTCCATACGAGCACCAATGGTACGGACAACCTTCTCAGCACTTACGAAACAAGATAAGCATAAATATTTTTCTTTTGTTTTCATTAAAACGTCACACCATGCTCGAGAGAACAAAGTCTATATAGTTGTATAAGTTCTGAAACACTAAAAGAAATGTATCAAAAACAGCTTGTTAAATATACAATTATGATCCTGATGTCCTTTCAATTAAATCCTATGTTTAAAATGAAAAACAAATGTCTGTTTCACATTTCAAGTTGTGATCTGCTGCATTGGGATAAGTTTTGGTGAAACCTGGTAAAAGAAAGAAAAAAAATCAAATTATTAAAAATCATCTCATACACAATTACTTTGAATTTCTAAACTTGAATGATATAGGGAACAAGCAGCCTTGCCATAAACAGTGCTGCCTTAGCTGCTTTCCTTCTTTGCTGGGACACAATACCTGGCACCCACAGCTTAGAGGTGAGGTTTATTTTGATTCACACTTACTGTCTATAGTCAGTGAAATCCAGGGCAGAAATGGCATAGCAGAGGAGCACAGCAGAGGAAAGCTGCCCATGACAAGGCAACCAGGTAGCAAGAGCTACAGAAGGAGCCAGGGAGGGAGATTTACCCTCCCCCAGTGACCCGCCTCTTTTGGACAGGCCCCTTTCAACAGGCACTTAGCTGCCAAACTTATCAAGAGGTGATTACACTGATGAGTATAGCACCTCCATGATCCAATCACCTTCCATAAGCCCTGCCTCTGTCCATAGGAGGCCACTGAAGGCATAACAAAGTTTCCTTACTAGATAATACTTTTCATTCTGAAACACCAAGACACAGCTGTTCTGAGCACATTTGAGTACTTAGTCATTCTTTTTTTTTTCCTAGGGAATTATATTCATTTTATTTTGAGAGAGAACATAGGACCACTTTCACGGTGGGTATATATATATATATATATATATATATATGCTTAATCACTGAACTATACCCCAAGCTCTATTCATTACTGTTTTATGGTAATACAAAATACAATAGTATTTGATACCAAATATTTTAAATATGTGAAACATCTTAATTTCCCTCCATATATTTTTCTGAATGAGAAACATCTAAATTTTAAGATACAGTAAGCTTTAATTGTCTGGATTTTGGCAAATTCAAAATTGAAGAAAATTCTGTATGAAGTCATTCTTAACCTTCTTGCACTGCACCTTCTAAATTAATGACTGGGGCTGTCAACAAAAAAGGGGCAAGGTAGGAGCAGAGGGAGACAATGAAAGGGTCCTGATAGGCAAGGCCTCCACTGGATGGATCATTGCTCTCTGAGACTGGTTAACTCTGAGACCACAGTCAAGTCAGTGCAAAGCACAAGTTTCCAAATCCTCAAAATGCAGGGTTTGCAATTGATGTAACCTTTCAATTACCTGGAAATATATTAATGAAAAGACAAATGATCACTGATAAATCTTATCAGAAATTTCAGAATCAGGAGAAAAATGATACAAAAGCAATAAAACAATTCTGAATTATGACAAAAGGAGCTAACAGCATTAAAACTGTATGTTGATCATGTTCAGTGTATTTGACAGTAATCTTATTCGAGACTCTTGATGAAGACAAAAATAAGAACAAATCTACACTTAAGGTAGAGCTAGTGAAAGGAGAATCCTAAATGTAAGTGATTCTGGGTTAATTGTGATAGATCATTCAAAGCATGGTACGAAGTTCAGATTTCTTTGGGTTTTGTTTTGCTTTGTTTTTGAGGCAGGGTCTTACTATGTACTCCAGGCTTGCCCTGAACTCACTGTGTATCCTACACTGGCCTCGAACTCACAGAGATCCTTCTGCCTCAGTCTCCAAAGTACAATGATTACAGTCGTGTATTACCATGCCTGGTTGTGCCACCATGCCCAGCCACATTTCTTTTTCTGGTACCGGGGATCGAACTCAGAACCTTGCGCTTGGCAAGGCAGATGTGGTGCCACTGAGCTAAATCCCTGGCCTGCAATTTCTTAATTTAAGATGACAAGTATACACTGGGCCCTAGTTAGGAATACTCTCTGGAAAGCACAGCATGAAGTATTAAAATTTAGGTACTTTTTGATGTGGCAATGAGAATGGGCCAAATTAGTATTTTGCCTTCCTGGATAAACAATTAATATTTTGTAAAATTAATAAATGAATGAATGCATGATTGGATAAACTTCAGAGAACTACAAGAAAGGTTTTTAAGAACGGTTAAGTCAGTATTAAAAATTAAGAGAGAAGGCAATTAATTGCTTCTGATAAGGATATTTTTGGTTCATTTATAAATAACTTCTGTATTATTTCTTTACAATGTCAAGAGTTAATGACCTTTCTTCCAGTTTTGTACTAAAAATGACTAAGAATAAATAAGAATATACCAACATTTTCTACTAAAAGGATGAAAAAAGGCTAACAGTGAAGCTTGGCACAGAGTTCAGGATAAATGAGAATGAATTGAGTCTTGCCAGTTCCAAGAGCAGACAAACAATAAGAAACAAAGTAATGTTCCATACACATAGACTTTCAAGTCTACTAAGGATAATGAAGAACATATGAGCTCTTTGCATTTAAATATATATGTCTCACAAACAGTTTTTCATTGTCTTTTGTTTAACAACAGAGCATCTGTGGAAATAATTAATTGAAATGAAATTATTCTTCTTTAAAGCAGACCATTTCCAATGGATACTTAGAGCATTTTCTTTAAAAGGAAACTGGACACCTTAATTTTTCAAATGAAACATCTGACCCTTTTCCTTGTCATGTCAGCCCTATTTTGAGCTCTTAATATCATTCATATCCTCAATTTAGAAATTGACTTTTATTGGAAAAGAAGATGAAGCTTTATAAAAAGACTGGCTTGGCTTGTCTATTTTGTAATGAAAAACGTCTATTAAACCACCACTTCTCATTCTGTTCTCCCACAGTCTCATCAGCACTGTAAGTCTATGCAAGCCAAAGTACATTATTCTGCCAGCGTGATCTACAGGCTAAGCACAGACAGCAAGATCTAGGTGTAGAAGGTAAGCCAACAACTTGTCTTCTCAGCCAATTGACATTCTAAGAGTATACTGCTTAATTCTGGTTTAATGTCCATTCATAATAAATACTGAGAGGATATATTTATTGAATTTGGGAAAGAATGTCTGTAGCTAGTTTCTTTTGGAGTGTTTTTGTTTAATTTTTTGTTGCTGGTGGTGTAGGTGTATTTGTGACTGAAGAATGAGGCCAAGGCCTTTGGGCATGAAAACTGTACTAATTAGTTCTATTTTTTCATATTTCATAGTTCAATATACACTGAGTGTTTAATAATCATAGTTGACCAACAATTTTTGGAAGTTTATTTATTTTATTGTATGATGCTCAAATACTGATTAAATTCATTTTTAATTTTTTGAATAAAAACAAAAGATACTGTTTCCAAAAAGGTTCATAGACATTTATGGTAAATTTAATATAACTTAAGTATTTATCAGACTTAAGCATTTATCAGAAAATAAATAAATAATCAACTGAATTCACTACTCGCTAAAAAGGGATATCTTAGAGATAATGGAATTTAAGTGATGGAATGTCATCTTTCTTTTCCCTTTCTATTTTGGCCTATCAAGTAAAACGATGAATAATATAAGAGACAAAATAAAGGAATTTGACATTTTAATTAACTTGTCACAGATGCAATATGATATGTGTGATATGAGAAAGAATTATTAGTTGACAAATATTTGGGACTTCTCTCAGTCAGCGGTGAAAATGCATGCTAAAACAGAATGCTAGAGACTATCTCAAGCTTAAAACCTTTTGCTTGTCACAGGAAACAATCAATAGAAGGAAAAGACACCCTATGGAATGGGGAGAAATATTTTCAAATCATGTGTCTACAAGGAGATTAAAACCCAGAATATACAAGGAACTTCTACAAGCTCAAACAAAAAGAACAACCTGATTTAAAAGTGGGGAATTGAATAGACAATTCACCAAAGAAGATACATAATTGGCTAACAAGCATATAAAAAGATGCTGAATGTCAGAAATCACAAGAGAAATGCAAATCAAAGCAAAATGAAATAATGATTCTGACCTATTAGGATGGCTACTATTAAAATAACAAGCATTGGCAAGGATGTGAAGAAACTGGAATTCTTTGTGCACAGTTAGAATGTAAACGTTACAGCCATTGTGGAAAACAATCTAGAGGTCCCTCAAAAAATTAAAAATAGAATTATCATATGACTTAGCAATTCCACTTTTGAGTACATACCCCAAATATTTCAAAGCAGGATATATTTATACAATCATGTTCATAGCATCACTATTCACTATGGCCAACAGGTGAAGTAACCCAAATGTCCATTAACAGATGAAAACTATAAAACACTAAGAAAAGAAATCAGAGTGAACACAAAAAAATGGAATTCATAGATTGGAAGAATCAATATTGTTAAAATGTTCATATTATCACAGTGATCTACATATTAAGTGCAGTTGTTCACAGAACTTAAAAAAAAATCCTAGAATTCATATGGGACCACAAAAACAACAAAAAAAGACCTCTAATAGTCAAAGTCATGTTGAACAAAAAGAACAAAACAGGAGGTATTAACCTACCCAACTTGACCAATAGACCAGAATAGAGATACTAAAAGTAAATCCACGCATGTATTGTCAACTGATCTTTGAGCAAAGGTGTTAATAAGAACATGCATTAGCAAAAGGTCAATCTTTTCAATAAATGGTGCTGGGGGGTTATACTGGAAGAAATACATTTACATATGTTTACATTATATGTAAGAGAATGTAACTGACCTCATATAACTGGATCTCTCAATCAATTATAAAACTCAATTTGACCTGGTTAAAGTCATGTGTGTGTGTGTTTGTGTGTGTGTGTGTGTGTTTATAAGACCTGAAATGATGTATGCAACTACTAGAAGAAAACACGCCTCAGGACATTGAAATAAGCAAGGATTTAAAAAAAAATTTGGATAACACCCCACAGGCACAGAAGACAAAACTGGAGGTAGACAAATGAGAGTATATAAAACAAAAAACCTTCTATACAGCAATGGAAACAACAGAGTGAAGACAAACCTGCAGAATGGGAGAAAATATTTGTAAACTATACAGCTGACAAAAGTTTACTACTCAGAATATATAGAACTCAACTCTATAGGAACAAAGCAAATCAAAAATCCTGAATAATCCAAAAAAAATAGGCAATAGACCTAAATAGACATTTCTCCAAGTAAGAGATGCAAATAGTTAAAAGGAAAAGTGTTCAACATACTAGTCAAAGAAATGCAAATCAAAATCACAATGAGAATCCTCACTCTGGTTAGATTGGCTACGATCAGAAAAAAAACAAAAAAACCCCAGCCTTTTGGCTAAGACCAAGTGTGAAAAGACAAAAGATAACTAGTGTTTGCAAAAATGTAGAGGAAAAAGAACACCGCTTGTTGTAATATAAATTAGTATAGCCACTATGGAAAACAATACATAGGTAGCTAAGAAACTTAGAACTACCAAAAATTGCACTTGCAAAGGAAATGGAATCAGTCATGGAAGAATCATCTGTATTCCTATATTCAAGACAGTCAAGAAATGGAAACAAACTAAGTATCCATCAACTGATGAATAAAGAAAATGATACATATACATAGTAGAATATTACTTAGCTATAAAAAAAAAAGGATTGCTGCCATTTAAGAAAACACAGATGAAACTGGAGGTCAGTATGTTGAGTAAAATAAGCCAGGCACAGAAAGACAAGTTCTGCATAATTTCACTTGTACATAGAATATAAAAAGAAAATCTTAATTCTGTAGAAGTTGAGGTAGAATTGGAGCTAGGGAGAGTAGGGAGGAGGGAAGGATAGGAAGAGGTTGATCAATGGATACTGCATTACACTTAGCAGGAAGAGGTTCTCTTACTGTTCTCGTACAGTCAGGTGACTATAGATAATAATGTAATGTTCACTTCAAAAATCTGGAAGAAAGGATTTTAAATGTTTCCACCATAAAGAAATAAATAATCAAAGAGACAGATTTGTTTACTCTGATTTGACCATTGCACAATGTATACATATACTGAAATATCACATAGTACCCCTATAAATACATACAATTTTTAGGTATCAGATAAAACTAATAATAAAAAATGGTATAGTATTGGAATCCAAGAGGGACCACGGAGATATTTTTCATGATATGAAGATATGGAAAATGGCACTTTTTATGTGAAAACAAAGCAAAAACGGTAAAAACTCATCCTTTTCATTCCTGATTTACTGGCACATATAACAAAGAATTAGATAATGAGGGTGTTCTGTTTTGTATTCTCTTTTGCAGCAGACAATAGAAAATTCTCAGAAATATTACCTGACAAAGAGAGTAACCCTTACACACACACACACACACACACACACACACACACACAAAGCAAAAATAAAGAACAGGTGATTAAGATTGATTTGCTTTTATCATTGGAATAAGATATCCTGGAGTATAAATAACACCCCTCCCAAGGGTATTGAAAAGGTAATTAAATATGTGCTTTTCAAGCAAGACATTACTAGGGGACCTCTTTTTTCCTAAGGGAAATTCAGAAAAGGTTAATAGACAAAGACCTAGGTACAGTACCAGGAACAGTTATTATGTGGATAATGAATTATGAAAAGAAATTGTTTTAAAGAAATCTGTTATGCACTGAGAGGTACAAGCCAGGCATGTAGTATACAGGAAGTTATGTATGAATCTTATGCATGACTTGTCAAATAATTTTTGTTGAATGTGTTTCTCCAAGGATAGCTGCAATATTAACATATTTTCTTCTTGTTACATTTCATTTTAATTAGCAGATTGCATCTTTTAAGACTATCTAAGAATCCAATATTTCTTCCATTATTTCAGAGATACATCGCTTTTACTTTTAGTTAACTAAGAGGGCTGAGTCATCCATCATAAATGGGTTTAAAAATAAGGAAGCATCATTTCCCCGTGTCTTGTTCACATTTTTGAGGTAATCAAGTTTAACCACATACGACATATTCTCAATTCAGAAGAGGACTGCCTGGCATGTCACAGAAAATGGCTTAGAGATCAAGCTGGCCCTTCTATTTCCAGGCACTTCTGTGGCTCCTCCCTGTTTTTGACTCCTGAGCCAAGGTCAGGCTATGAGTCAGAGTATGATTCCTGCTCCCACCTGCTCTCTTCTGGAGGCTCCTTTCCTTCCACTTCTATTCACCACAAAGGTCATTTCCCAAAATGATCACAAATTAATGGTTCGTGTCTTGAAAACACTCATTCATTGAGCCCATGATATGCACAAGAGGCTGGATTTGCTCACAGAAAAACTTACTGCAAAATCACACCCAGTGCTCTTTTGTATGTCATCCACTGTCAGGTCTTCCCAGAGCTCAATCAGAGTCAGCCCTTTCTTCTTGTCCACGTCAAACACAGCCTGTGGGAGTAAAGGAAATGACAATGACAACTTCCATCACAACAATTATTTTACAGCACAAAAGATTCTGAAAATGAGCAATGAAAAAATGTCAACCATAACTATTATAAATAAATGTCAACTCACTCATCAGCAATTAGTTGTGGAACACTGTTGATGTCAGAAAAATTACTAAGTGTTGGCTACTGGTGGCAGTTTATTACTATTGCAATCAGTTTTTAAAATCTACTCTCCTTTTGCTAAGTCTAACACTTTTGGTGAAATGTCAATGAGGTGATTAAAAATGAAAAGGAATTAAAAAAGAATGAAGAAAGTGAGGGAGCCAGGGGATAACCGGAAAAAGAAACAAGGATGATAAAAAAAAGTTTATAAATGCTGCTGGATAAAGAATTATAGGAAACAAAAGAAGGTGCTCTGAAGTGTCTGAAAGTAATTATAAAAGAATAGCTGAGCTGGTCCTGAAAGACCTAGTAAATGGTAAAATTTCCCCTTTACAGTCTAATGAAAACATACAATTCCCAAGAGGAGAAGATACATTTAGGTCAATCATGAGGAGGCCAACTTCACCTTAAACATTCTATTATGAGACTCTGGCCCATTGTCTCAGGTGATGGTAGGGCCAACTGGTATAGCTTGACTTTGGGGGAGGGACCTGAAAAGGCATTTAATATGACCTTCCACGAGAGAATTCTTCAAAAGTCTTCCAAGATGGTTTCCAGGGCTCTGCTTAGACACTTCCACTAAAGGAGGTTCACTTGTCTCAAGATGGTTAATTTATAAGAGTGCAAAAAATAAGAGAAAAAAGTATCTCTGAATTTTGTTTTTAAGAACAGGCACAGAAATGATTTAGAGGGAAGATAACTATGGAATCATGAATATAAGTCTTCAGAATCAGAAAGAGAAAATCTATAGCCAATTGACTTGTTGCTTTAAAAATAACTTTTATTAACATATTTATCTCACCCTAATTATTTCCCAAGATCATTAAAAAGACATTATTTTTTTTAAAAAGGGAAGTTTACTTTTGAAATATTTCCATTTAGTGGTATAAAGTGCAAACAAAAACTTGACAGAAATGAAGACTAAAGCCTAAAAGCTACAATAAATTGCTCAACTATCAAGAATAATTTTGAAACTGCTTTGTTTTGTAGTAAGTTAACTGCTTTATCACAATATAAGGCCATATTACAGTTAATAGTTAATTATAGCCCAGGTGCTAATGAGGAAGGCATCTTTCATAATCTCATTCTAGCAGTAAGAAGCAATCAGGGTCATATTATCCCCAGAGTCTATCTCAAAGGGCAACCCAATAGGCATGCTAATGGAACTTTAGTCTTTTGCATGCCACCCTTAAGAGTATTCTCATTCACTTGTTCAGCAAGTGCCTATTAAGCATCTGCTCTGTGTGGAGCACAGTGATAAACATGCAACATTCTTTTCCTTGAAGTACATAAAGTTCCAAATTTAGCTACTCCTTCTTTACTTATTTTTGCTATATAATGTCACCTACAGTTCAGGCTCCAATCATGCTCACATGCTAATGACTCCCACAAGTTTATTCAATTACTTCTCCTGACTTCTCCTATGAGCTCTAGATCCAAATTTCCAATTTTTAATCAATATCTCTGACTGGATGTCCTCAGAATATCAAATTGAGAATGTTCAAACGAACCTTTTCTTTTCCTGCCTCCTATTGCTCCTCACCCTTCTCCTCTTAGAGTCCCGGGCTTCATTAACCCATAGCAACTACTGACTCATTCTAGCTTCAGAGGTACTACTCATGGGTCCTCAGGAACCATAAATTTAATTTTTTATGAAAGAAAAAAATATTTATGCTAAATATTTATTTATAAACACATTACATAAGTCCATGTAACATAAAAAATAAAATTAATTTTCAAAACATTTAGGACAAGGTTTCTTACAGCACTGATTACAAATTGGTATTTTACAAGCATCACATCAGATAGCAGTTTTTCTGTCTTTGCTGCTGGGGCACATGGCATATCTTTTATATTTCTTTTGTCAGTAGATTGTCTGGGCTCCTTTATAATAGAAATCTCCATTCCCAGGATTTCTGCTGAAAGTTTTTGTAGTTTCATAGGCACTTTTTTAGTAGCCATTCTGGAGCGCAGATTTTTCTCAATCGCACCCCAGAGGGCTTAATAAAGTCAAAACATTTTATCCTTTCACCTCATTGTCCAAACCAGTACAATACATGAGAGTTAACATCCACAACATTTAAAATGGCATAAAAAATTGCCATTGGCCAACGGCTGGTTCTCCTGGACAGCAAATATAATAATGCACATTTTCCATCAAACGTGTCAACTCTAGATTTTATGTCACTATAAAAATAAATAATATCAGGGTTTTGGGTTTGTCAACAATGGTGCACAGTTGACATTAACATGGCACTTTTACCTTTTTTGGTATGTATGAAACTAATGTGCTGATAGCATAAAATCCAAATACTGATGACTGAACAGTTTGTTTTCCATTTGATAAAAATTCAGGTGGTAGAGGGTTCTTTTTTTTTTTTGAAGTGCCTACATTAGTCAAGTTTTTCTTTTTAAGTTCATCAAGAAGTTCCACTGAGCTACACCAACAGTCACAGCTAACATTTCTTTTAGTACCTTCGACAGATTCCACAAGCTCAGAACAGTGCTTGTAGGACTTGAGAAGGTAGATTTGGTAGAATCAGCTGTCTTTATTTCAGCACCAGCATATATTTCTGCATTTAGCATATAATGAGTCTGAGCATCAGCTGAAATCTGCACTTTATGCCACATTTAGCTTGGCTTGTTAGGTGTAAATATTCTAAAACTGCATTTTTCTCAAAATGTTGCTAAAATCTCATTGATGGTTAGGTGAAATCCAGGAGAATAACATGACTTTGACCTGGTGACAAACTTCAAATGAATCTGAGACAGCAGCTAACTAACTTATTCATTTTCACTCTTTTCTAGTTTTGACATTAAAACTTAAGGCAACATACTAAGAATGAAAATCAAGTCAGACTTATAGTAGCATGAAAAATGGGTCTTCCTGTTCCATCTGTTGCCCACCTTGAACAGATATCTTTGTGGCCAGACTTAAAAATAGTAAAAACTCTATAAAAGCTTAAGTTAGTGCTTTGACACAGGAAAAAAGTGATATTGTATTTACTACCGATAGGTTCTCAGGACCCAATATATTATTCCCTGTAGAATTATAGATACTGAGTATGAATCTCATGTGTACTCGATGAAATACTTGAAGTAGGAGACTATAGAAATGACAAGTAAGCAATGTTGACAAATGAAGAAAACATAGCACTTTTAAAAATGTGTCGGGTCCTCAGGGCCCAACTGTGGTAGCTGTGGTTTAAAACAATAGGTCAACAAGTTTTTCGCTGTAGGCAGAAAACTTGAGAATCATATCCATATTAACATCTGTGTTCTACTCATCATCAAATCAGGTGAAGTTCATCTCCTAAATCTCATTCAAATCTCTCTTTCTGTCGTGTGAATTAGGATCTTAAATTTCTTGCTTATATCTGTCATGGATCCTTCTAACTGGACTCTGTCTTATCACTTCTCCTTCTACTTTACCAAAATGCCAGTTTTTTTACTAAAAGAAAATCTAATCAATTATTCCCCTAACTACTAAAAGTCACAGAAGGGTTCCCCACTTTCTTTCTGATAAGAACTACATTTCTTAACAAGTCATCCATACTCCTTCATTATTTTGGCCCCTTGTCTTTTCTACCCTAGCCTTTAGATGCTGGGTGTGCCCCTGCTCCAAACTGCCACTGGCAGGTCCTGGAACAGGCCATGCTTTCATAACTCATTTGGGACTTTACATGTTTTCTTCCTTTTACCTGGAAGATCTTTGGTTTTTTTGTAACTTATAAAATTCCTGTTTGGCTTTCAAGGCCCACAACTCCATCTATCAGCTTTTTCAGAAAGAAAAGTAGGATACATTTATTTAATGAGTATTTATTGAGAATGGGTCAGGCACCGTGTTCAGTGTTGGATTGAGACCTATGAGTGAAACCGGCAGAACTTCAGGACTATTTCAACACACTTGTGAGTGTGAAGTTAGGATAAGTACAAGTATTCAGGGAAGCACCCAGAAAACTTATAAAGGGATAGGGAATACTTGCCAGAAGGGTGAAAATAACAAATGCATAGCTGAAGTGAAAGATAAGCAGGAATTACCAGATGAATGGTGAGAATAATGATCCAGAGAGAGATTCAGAATGGGCAAAGTTCCTGAAGAACATGGTCCAGGGGAGAATGCAACATACTCCAAAGCATTTTAGCATGGCTGAAGTGGAAAATGTCAAGGGAGGAAAAAAAACTAAGACCTGAGAAGAAAGGGAACAAACTATGCAATGTCTTGCAAAACATGTCAAAACCTTGCATATGATATACAGTACCTAAAAGTTTTCTTGGTACTCTTCCCCAGGCTGTCATGTACCTTTCCTTTAGGTTCTTAACTTAGCATCTGCTATACATCTGTACTGTGTCCTCTGTGGTGTTTATTGCTCTAAATGTTGGTGATGTTGGATGCTTGAAATCTATCTAACCCTCTGAAATATGCTCACCTCCTCTTTGTATCCAACAGTTGGGAACAGTCTCCTTCAAAGTGCTTGAAAGTACTTATAAAATGAACAAAGGAATCAACAACATAGATAGATAGAAAGGGTACAAAAGGTATTTTAAATGATAATAAATATAAATAACAGTAGAACTTGTGACAGTTAATCTTGATGGTCAATTTAATTGGCTTGAGAGATTAGTAAAGCACGCTTCTGGGTGTGTCTGGGTGGTTCCTGTGGCCTGACCCTGAGGATTACATCTGGTCCCTGGCCCCTTCCTCTCTGGGGCTCTTCCCCTGCTCTCTGCTTCCTGGATGCCATGAATTGAACTGATTCGTTCTACAATGCATCATTAAAACTTGACTGAGTTTTCTAACATGAAACCCACCAATTTGTACTCATGATTTGGAAAGCAAAGAAAAAAATAAGAATGATTTTATTTTTATATATATATATTACAGTTTGATATTTTAAAGATAGAATAATCTTTAGATAGATATATAGATAGATATCTTAAAACAGAAGAATCAATAAAGTTATTCTCTGATATATCACAGTGTCAAAGTTTCCAAGGATAGTTCCATTTTGTTGTGTATTTTGTATTTCCAGAGAGTTGCACATGAAAAATTCTACATTTAGAAACATTAAATGATGAATTTTCCTACTTATTCTATCCACAAACTAAATTACTGCTATGACACTGACATAATACACTCTCAGAAGGTAATAAAAAATTCTAAAATGCTTCTAAAAAAGCAGTGGTAGACATTAGAGGAAATAAAAGAGAAAGGTACTTTACCTTTTCTGTAATAATGCGGTTGACACACTGCTTTCCAGTCAGTGGTAATGTACATTTCTCCATGATTTTATGTGCATTTCCCTGTTTTAAAGAAAGTAGAACCATCAAAAATAGTAGTTAAGGAGCAATTCTTATTTAGAACCGGTGTAAGTATAGGACAAATAACAACTACCAGAAAAATAGTCTTCAAAATACAGATGTTTCAAAATCTTTTCACAGTCGCCTTTTTACTCTTTCTGGAGACAGTTTCCATCCCTGAAATAATTTAGGGAGGATGCCAAATGAACAGCCAAAAATACATGTTTTATTTGAGAAATGCCATGCTGCATATCTGACCTCTCAAGCCACTTAATTTGTATAACCTGATGTAAAATTTCACTTCTAATATCCTGTTTATTTTCCCTTCAAGAGAAGATTTTGAAAAATATGACCAGCTCTCCAAGGAGAGGAAACATATGTTGAACACAAATGCCAAAGTTCCCTTTAAAAACAACAACAAAAAATTAATTATTTTGGTTATAAAACAGATACACAGAAACAACAGTGCCTTAACTTCCTTCTTAATAGGAAATACACTTCTATTTTAAAAGCATTTTCTTCTATATATTTTCTTTTTATATCCACATTTTAAATATTATGCTCACCACGCTATTTATTTCTTGAGTGATTAAATTTAGACCCTAATTATTGGTCTCTTGTGGTAGATGAGGACTTAATTCTCTTATAAACATCATCCCAAGGCTACCTTTATCATTTTCAATTCTTCCAATATGGACATGTCACACCTGGTAGTTAATTCCATGGTCAGAATTTACATTTTTTCCTTAGGTTATCACAATGATGTAGGGTAGACAGAAGGGTACTGATGACCATGGCTTGCCCCAGTTGTGGCAACAATCTAGAATTGCTAAATAGAAACTCCAAATTAAAAAGGAACAAGACAACCTGGGGCGCTGGTGCGTGCCTTTAATCCCAACTACTTGGGAGGCACAGATGGGAAGAGTCCAAGTTCCTGGCCAGCCTGGACAATTTAATGAGAATGTCTCAAAAAATACACTTTTTTACATCATTGTAAGGCTTAATGATCGTGTAAAACTGATCACTGCTGCGCCCAATAGTGTAGCATATTATAATTATATTTACTTTCTTATATAGCTCCTCCTAGAGGTTGGCTGAACTTCAGTTTGCTCATCAGTAAAATGTGTGAGCTTGTCTAAATGCACAATTCTTTCAGTTTCTTTTAGTCACTGTTTTCTTTCTTCAAAGATAAAAGGGGGATTAAAAATAGAAAAACAAGTTTTCACCCACTAACTTCCTCCCTTACCCTACCTACCCTCACTATAAAAGTGGCCCTAAAGGCAAGGTCTATGGAATACAATCCAAATATTAATTCTGATTATTTGATCTTCAGATCATTTTCTTACGACTATGAGTAAATTCCTTTTTAAATACCAACTACCAGGAGCTTAACTCTGTTGAAGTTGAAAGTGAACTCAGTACATTCTGCATCTTCTCTTATAAATGGCAGAATGCTTTTTTTTTTTGCCTTTTGGATCTAAACACACTGACTACAACACTGATGTCATCTTTACCGTGTCAAATTTCACCAGTTTAAACATGAGTTTATTACCTAAGTTTATCCCTCTCCCCTGGAATCAGACCAAGTATATCGTCAGATGTAAATTTCAGATAACAAGGTTTAGTTAAGATTTTATTCCTCATAACCTGTCAACTCTATGGCATACTAGTAATCTAAAGGTTCTAGTGTACTTAAAGTAGTGCAAGGCATAAAAGCCATTCAATAGTTTTTGGATGAATGTATTCATGAAAGAATGAATGGGAAAGGAAAATCGATTGGGAGTCTTTGATGGACTTTTTAAAACTCTAATTTTAAAATCTATCACTTTCAGTCAAAAGTGGTGATATATATATATATATATATATATATGATAGAAATCACACCTTTAAAAACAAGTTCCATGTTCCTGCATCCTGCCCCATAAGAAAACTTATCTTTAATAAGAGAACATCACTTTTACTTCATTTTTCTATTTTCCATTCAAAATTTCAAATTTTGCATGTCACATATCCCAAATTAAAAAGCTGAAATTAATGATGAATATTTGAACTTCTACAGCTGTCAGTTCTTTTTTTTTTTTTTTAGCTGTCAGTTCTTATATTTAATATAATCCAAATAAGGCATGTCACAATGAATTCCAAGGCTGACTTCAAACAAAGTGAATAATCTATAGGCCTCTGAAGAACATTTTCTATAGGGAGCTCTTAATTTGTTCTCATTTGAGAGCAAGATCTTCATTTGGTGCAAAAGCAGCCACTTGGATTTTAATGAACAACCAACTCTATTTTAGGGGGAAATCATGAATTTCAACTGACAGTATTAACTGCACCCTACCAACAGAGACCTCTACAGATCATTTTCTGAATACATAATATATCACAGTGCTGAAGAGTGTGGGCTGGAACTGAAGATCTGTGTATAACACTATCTGTGCAAGATCCATGTGCTCATGATTTCTTATCCACCTTAATTCTCAGGCTCATTCCTTGGCTTAAATGAAATCCAACTGTCCAGTACTCAACAATAAATGTTAGCTGGTATTGTTTGTATAGCCTATATTTAACATTACTACAACCTAAAATGGAATTCTTTATGAACTTTTAAGTTCTTACATAAAATCTGATAGAATTATGCAGAAAATGGCCTAAATACAATTCCTGAGATCAACAAAACTAATGAAAACACAAGATATATTTCGAGGCAACCATATGGCTTGCCTAGGAAACTGACACCAAGTGTATTCCTGCATTTAAAACAATGTAGCTAGATGATTCCATTCATATTTAGCTCCAAGACATAGCAAAGATCAAAAAAAGAAGGAAATTGGAACTCAGAAAGATTAGCAATGTCATTGTTTCAATATTCAACAATGAGTTAGCTATGAAGCCACAATATGACTAACTCCCACTTCAGCACTCTATTCTAACCATGCTGGGCTGAGCCTCACACTGTGCCATGGCAGCTACATATATTAGTGATTCACGAAGGAGGAACAATTGCTGAGTTCTTAACGTTTAAAAATAAATCCTAAAAATGAGAGGCAGTATAGTATAGCAGCAAAGACCACTATAGGAGGACTTTTACCAGGACTTTTCCCTTTAATAGTTCTTTGGTCTCTTAAATTTTAGTTACTTCTTCAGTTGCCTTCTTTTTACATGCTTATTATGAGAATCAGATTAAACATACTGAAAAATACAATAAAGTAGAGGAGGTTGAATCTATGTACAAAAATCCAGGGTTATGAGGTCTTGTTCATCCTTATTCTGCATCTTTTTTTCCTTCATCAATAAGAAATGTCAGAAAAGGCCTAACAACATGTGGCATTAAAAATTCAACTAGTACTGAAGACTCCTGATTTCAACATGTTATTATTTGTTAACATCATGATAACATTGGTGAATACCTAAATCCACCTCCTCCACCTGCTCTCTCAGTTTTTCTTTTCCTTGGTCAATACATATAGATTTCATATATGTATTCTGAGTATTTCACCATTTGGTTGTTAAATGGTTTAAGGTCTCTGTACTTTCTCTTACTTGCTTCATTGTGATCTCTCTAATTCTTTAGCTGCCTGAATGGAATTCTGGCCCTACATTCTGTGATAATGAGCAACTCTGGTTAAATGATCATAAATCCCCTTGCTAACTTAACAGTGAGTTTCAGGTTATCACAGTGAACTCAGTCCCAAATAATCAGCTGTGTTTTTTCCATAGCAGAATGATTTTTCCACTTGATGTTAACATTTCATTCACCTGAGGCAACTGAGCATTTAAGATATCGCTTTATATGAAGCCTCATTTTCAGGCTTATCTTTTCTGTTAAGTACTTCCTAATGTGACTGCAGTACTTTTTGCCTTTCAAGCACCTTCTTTGAAAAAGCCCTAATGATGAACTACGGAGAAGACACAATTTCTGGGAATTGGTTGTTTTTAAAAGAACTAAGCCCTCAAGGTTTTGCTCATGTTTCCTGCTGGCTGGAACACATCCCATCTCATACTCTGTCACCTCAAATTCAATCTGCAACACACTTCCTGTTCTTCAGGACTTGGCTCTGGTGTCATTTGCTCTGAGGAAATCTCCAATGTATCTATCTGGTGTCTCACTCCCATGTCCCTGGTCTTGTCCTTCCTTTTCGTGACACATGGGGTGTTGCGATCACTGACCACCCACCACCCAGCAACAGATCCTGAGTTTGCTAAGCACTGAGACCATTCAGCTTTGCAGCTACAGCAATAAGTAGAGCACTCAAAAACCTGAATATTACATTTCTGATTCAAGCAGTTCTGAGAGGTAGAGCTATAAAATACCACATGACTGTCAGGGGACCACTAGAGGCTACGTTCTAGTTCTCAGATGTGTACTTGTACATTCCCAGCAACTCCAGCTCACTGGGAGAAGCACAGCTAACAAAAGTACATGAAAGGGATCACAAAACTCTAGGGACACAGGTAAAGGAATGATCAAAGGAAGAAGCAATACTGTACGAGACAATATACAAATTTAAAAGGAGAAACAGAAGCAAAGCAAATTTCAGTTATTTTACCTCTTCTACCCGTTCGTTCCTAATCTTCAAGGGTTGTCATAATCCACTGAAAGGAAGGGCTATAAGGGCAGAACTTGGCAAGAGAATGTTAAATACTTGCCCAAAACAAGGAAACCAATAGCGGGGGTTCCTCATAACTTGCTAAAATATCAAAGAAGGCCTAACAGTTTCTATTCCTCACTTCTTACCTCCCTCCATCCATCTTAATGCTTAAATCAAGAGGAATATTTTCTACACACACACACACACACACGCGCGCGCGCGCGCGCGCGCGCGCGCGCCACACATAGATATAAAATACTGGGGAACACTACTACAAAATACATGACTGTCACTTCACTGTGATGGTTGATGTGGTACATATATAAGAAAAATGGAATTTGTTGAATGAAGAAAATCAAGGTAAACAAAATAACAAGGCAGGATAAGATTACTCAGAGTTTATCCTCGGGATAAGTT